TGCTGTTATGGTAAATACAATAACGTACCATTAAAGTGCCTTTGCCTTAAGCTCAATCAGCTTTTACGTATGTAGGACTCGTGATTGGTTTCTTTGATCACCAGGCAATCGTGTATGATCAATACAGATTTTCTAATACTGATATACTTTTTAACATACCTTCCATTTGCTTTCCAGCAAAAGATTTCTTGACACATCTTATTACGTCTCAGCTTCTTGGGAAGGAAATAACTCAGTGATGCTCCGCAGATAAGAGAACCCGTGTAAATTACTAGTTAGATGTATTTTCCAATTTTCATTTTTTTAGAAAAATTTCAAGATTTTTAGACCCTTTTTGAAACCAGATTCCCTTTCTTTCCCAGTCTTTCGAGTTCATGTTCCATACAAAGCAGTTTCCTTCAAGATTTGTGTACTTTGCTTAAACAGAATTTGATCATATGAATTAATGTTTAAGCGTTGGACGAAAATGAAATACTGTTTGCATAAATCAATTGATTGAACAACTTGTCAGTTGAGTTGTTGTCTGAATCACTGCAAACAGTGAAACTGTCGATATAATTATTTTCATTTCTGTTTGCGGCGAAAATATACATATTTTTCATTCCTTTATAATATAAGTAAGTGAAATATTGAATGAAAAGATCCTTGTTAATCAGTTCAGGTTAGTTTAGGAGCAATTCATTGTTTCATCGCTAGTCAGAGCTCTGATTCGCCCCTGCAAAGATTGACCACATTCATCTAACAACCACAAGAGTATTAAACGAAGAATCACGCCTGAGATTCTCCTGACTGACACAAATAGTCATGACGCCTCTTGGAGTTAGGCGCTCTTCAAATTCACTGCAACGATTGTGCACAATAAATATGTGCATTAAGGATGCGCACAACCTTTTAATCAACCTCACCTTACACTGAATTAGTTGCGTTTGAACATGTACGTTACAAAATAAAAATGCCATGAGTCTCAGCGACAAAAATGAAATGGAATTGGATTATCAGGATTTGAACCCCTTTATTTGTTTAAGGAAAACATAAATAGGCGAAAATTTATGAATATATGTTATTCGCCAGCTGGGAGATCCGTATTGGGAAAAACTGTGCCTGAGGTCTTGAGCACCGCCCGACTGAAGCCATAGGCCGGAGGCGGTACTCAAGACAGAGGGCACAGATTTTCCCGACGTAGGACCGACCTAGGCTGATGAATAACATTTCTATTTTTTTAGCTTAAATTTGACGAAATTTTTTCCAAAAGAACCCAAATGATTTAGGGCTGTAATTACAGCAAGATCTTCCATAAACTGAACAATTTTTGAGCGAGTAAATGTTAGTTAAAATAGAGGTAAGCAAAATTAAAGAGAGAAGCTTCACCGAAACATTTTCATTTGCGTAATGATAAAGGTGACTTAAAAGGCTTCCAAAAAAACTTTGAAACATTACTTTTACAAGTATCTGTAACAATCTGACACGTGTCAATAGGAGAGCACTTAAGAAAAAAAAAAGCGCAACTACACTTTTGAAAAAACAACGGGACTAGTTTGGCAACAGTGTCTTTCTCCATAACAGTCAATGATCTTACGGAAAGTATTATTCACTCTCATCGACGATTGATAAATGTACGAAGATTTACCTCTGTTCAGTAAGTAAATGGCAAGGAAAGTTATTGTAAGTAAATTCAATTTTTTTTATTTTGAAGTTGTGAGAGTTTGCTGGTTGATACTGCAAAAACGTATGTAAATCTGGTGTTTCCTCCACAAAAACTAAATTCGAATGAGACACTTCAAATAGACACAAGGGGATTTAATGCGGCTTTTCATCATTGAACTCATTTATTTTCTGTTGCGCAATTTACGGTATACAATTGTCCAAACTAAACGGACTTGGAAAGACCCACCGAAAGCGTCTTTGTAGTAGAACTGAAACCTTCGCTCGCCCTTTCACTACTACTACAAATTGTTTGAGAGGATTCAGATAATAAATGAAGGGAAGTTCCATTGATTAATTCAATTGTAACCAACTACCTCACGTTTTAAATTTTTAGGTACTTTTTGTGAAGGATTAAAACAGGTTTTTAGGCCGCTTTTCAACCAATTTAATGACACTTTTGCTTATTCGAATTTATTTCGTAGCCAATATTTTTCTGTCAACCAAAGTGATTTGCGAGAGAGAAAAAAGAGGATTAAAAAGTTCTTAATCGGCTTGAGGTGGTGACCGACGTCTTTGCTTTAAAAATACTGCCCAGCCGGAAAAACGAGATATATTTGTGAAAACCCGTGGGCAGAGATAGGAAAACAGGGACCGCGTTAAGAACCAATTAGATTGCAGGATTCGTTACCGTGCCCTCTGAGAAAAAAATGAGTACGGATATTTGTCCTTGGACATTATCTGTTCCTCGAAGCTCGCAGTTTTCACATCTTGGAACAGAAGATGTCCGCGGACAAATATCCGTACTTACTTTCGTGCCATAGCGCTTTACGGTGATGTAAAGTTCAGTAGAGGGAAACATAGTGCTAATCTAGGGGAACATATTGTTGTGAAGCGCTGTATAGTTACTACATTTTACGGATTTACAGTGCTACTAAGGGGTATAATATTGTATTGCGCTGTATAATGATAAAAGTTGAAGAAGAGGGACGTATTGATAGTGCTATTGAAGGGAGGGGGGAGAGAGGCACATTGGCGTGCGTATTCGAGGCGTTTATTCTACGATGTAAAGGGGACATGGAGTCAAATAACCGACGGAACGTGTTTGCTCATAATGAATCTCTCAAGTTGTTATCGACTATCCCTCTAAGTACCAAAGTAACTTATCTTTTCTTCACTATTGTTTTGTCAAAACTCTTTCTTTGCGTCTACATCCAAGATGGCGGCTACCGATTCTGTGAAGTTTGTAGATTAGCCTGCAGCCATCTTGGATTTGCGATGTAGGCGGATCGTGGACGAGAGTTTGACCCATTCCAAATCAGATGTTAGAAGAAGTCTAAATTTGGACATTGTAGGGCTCTTTTCCAACAAAATACATCGATTATGTCGCCGAGACTTGGAGGGAGCTCTCTCGCTTTATAACTGCTACTGTGATCAGAGGACTGAGGAGAGCAAACACTGGCACGTGAGACTTAAGAGTGGGAATCAGTTGAAAGAAAACTATTTTCGCACCAAAGTGGAGCAATTGTTTATATAGGGATGTATGGTGATGTAAAATTCAATGGAGGGAAGCATAGTGCTATCTTGGAGCACATATTGTTGTGAAGCGCTGACTAGTTACTGAATTTTACGGATTTACAGTGCTACCCAGGGGTGTAATGTTGTATTGTGTTGTATAATGATAAGTTAAATTAGAGGGATGTGTAATGCCATTGAAGGGAGAGTGGAGAGGGGCATATTGGCGTGCGTATTCGAGGAATTTACTCTACGATGTAAGGAGACATGGAGTCGAATAATCGACGGAACGTGTTTGCTCATAATGAATCTCTCAAGTTGTTATCGACTTCCTCTTGGGAAGTATTATAGTAACTTATCCTTTCCCAATCATTGTTTTTTTCTTCTTCTCTGCATCTACATCCGAGATGTCGGCTACTGAATCTGTGGGAGTTTGTGGATTGGGCTTCCGCCATCTTGGATTCGCGATGATAAGTGGACCCTGGGCGAGAGTTTGACCCATTCGCCATTAGATAATATGTATGAACACGTCCGTCGGCTTTGAAAACCGTGTGACACAATGGAAAACGATAAAAAGTGGAAGAGACACAATCGAAGAGACGACGAACGTTTGTTAAGTGGGTGGGGGCTTGAAACATGGAATATTTGTACACTGTTAGCCGCGCAGATTATCAACTTAGCACGCGTGGGTAAAAACAAGGAAAACAAGAAGTCCCCATAGGATCTGTTCTCTTTGCGTCTCACGTGAATCCCTTGGGAGACAGACAATGAAAATCAACGCAGTTTTCGTATTTTCTACACTTTATATTTCTCTTACACAAAAAAAAACATAAGTACAATAGAAACTGTATTAAATTGTCCAAGGCATTAAGTAAAATGCGCGCTTAACAGAGACACTAAGATGAACCCATTTACTCTCAAGACTGATCACAATTTAAGTTCTCCTCACGAAATTAATACACCGACAAACATTGTGTCAATAAGAATTAGAGAAAATCTAAACTGGAGGATAATTTTTTGCTCGAAATGTAATGTTACATCGAATCCACGGAGTGAAGCAACAAAGAAACATTCTTATTAGTTGGAAGAATTTTCTTCAGAACTTGGGAGTTCACGAGTTAATTAAACTAAGGTAAATGAACAATTATCTTCAACTGTAAATAAAAATAGCATCAAAACACTTCACACGAAATACACGGAAATTAAAAAGGCATATTTAGTTAAAACTGTCCCAGCTTGTTTTTCAAATCCTACGTTACATCATATTCAACCGTGTCCGAGGTTAACTATTATATTTTATACCAGTGGTAGTTACGAAAATCTGCAAAATTAAGATGGATTTTAAAAAACTTTCTTCTAAAAAAGCTGCATTACAGTATGTCTTAAATCTAGGAGAGGTATTATCAAAACTGGATTTTATGAGGTCGGTCAGAGCTTGAGGTCGGTCAGAGCTTGAGCTCGTCCTTTTTCAGCAGTAAGTAGGGCTGCATCTATATTACCTTGTTCTACGAGAACTCTCCACAAACCCGTATATGCCAATTAATACTGAATTCGAAAATCAACTTTCCACTCATCTTTAGATTTTAGAATTACTCTAAAGGAATTGAATAAGGTTATGCAAGCTTCGTGATATTCGACAGCTTTGGGCAGTCCATTCAGCGACTCAACGCATCCTAGGTAATGAATAGCAGGCCATAACCTCTGAGGATTTGTCTTCGAACTCTATGGCAATTTTCACCATTAGGTTGTATGATATGTTAACCTTCATCAAATCTCCCAAGGTTCGATACACATTGCTAAGATTACCATACGCACCACCCTCCCCATGCTTGTCTCCTACTTCTTTAGTTATTTTGAGATCTGGGTTGAAAAACTCTAGGGCTTTTTTTAAAATCACCCAGACTCCGATACACATTGCCAAGATTGCCATGAGCACCCCTCTTCCTATGCTTGTCTCCTACTTCTTTAGCTATTTTAAGGTGTAGGTTGTGGTACTCTTTGGCTTTTTTTAACTCACCCATACTCCTATACACTTTGCCAAGATTCTCATAAGCGTTACCCTCCCCATGCTTATCTCCTTCTTCTTTAGCTATTTTAAGATGTAGGTTGTGGTAATCTATGGCTTTCTTTACATCACCCAAACGGTAAAAAGCATTGCCAAGATTGCCATAAGCGTTGCCCTCACCATACTTGTCCCCTACTTCTTTAGCTATTTTAAGATGTAAGTTGTGGTACTCTATGGCTTTTTTGACATCACCCAGACTGTCATAGGCATTGCCAAGATTGCCATAAGCGTAACCCTCACCACGCTTGTCCCCTACTTCTTTAGCTATTTTAAGATGTAGGTTATGGTACTCTATGGATTTTTCTACATCACCCAAACGGTAAAAAGCATTGCCAAGATTGCCATAAGCGTTACCCTCCCCATGCTTGTCTCCTACTTCTTTAGCTATTTTAAGATGTAGGTTGTGGTACTCTATGGCTTTTTTGAAATCACCCAAACGGTAAAAAGCATTGCCAAGATTGCCATAAGCGTTGCCCTCACCATACTTGTCCCCTACTTCTTTAGCTATTTTAAGATATAGGTAGTAGTACTCTATGGCTTTTTTGACATCACCCAGACTGTCATAGGCATTGCCAAGATTGCCATAAACGTAACCCTCACCACGCTTGTCCCCTACTTCTTTAGCTATTTTAAGCTGTAGGTAGTAGTACTCTATGGCTTTTTTGACATCACCCAGACTGTGATAGGCATTGCCAAGATTGCCATAAGCACCACCCTCCCAATGCTTGTCCCCTACTTCTTTAGCTATTTTAAGATGTAGGTTGTGGTAATCTATGGCTTTCTTTACATCACCCAAACGGTAAAAAGCATTGCCAAGATTGCCATAAGCGTTGCCCTCACCATACTTGTCCCCTACTTCTTTAGCTATTTTAAGATGTAAGTTGTGGTACTCTATGGCTTTTTTGACATCACCCAGACTGTCATAGGCATTGCCAAGATTGCCATAAGCGTAACCCTCACCACGCTTGTCCCCTACTTCTTTAGCTATTTTAAGATGTAGGTTATGGTACTCTATGGATTTTTCTACATCACCCAAACGGTAAAAAGCATTGCCAAGATTGCCATAAGCGTTACCCTCCCCATGCTTGTCTCCTACTTCTTTAGCTATTTTAAGATGTAGGTTGTGGTACTCTATGGCTTTTTTGAAATCACCCAAACGGTAAAAAGCATTGCCAAGATTGCCATAAGCGTTGCCCTCACCATACTTGTCCCCTACTTCTTTAGCTATTTTAAGATATAGGTAGTAGTACTCTATGGCTTTTTTGACATCACCCAGACTGTCATAGGCATTGCCAAGATTGCCATAAACGTAACCCTCACCACGCTTGTCCCCTACTTCTTTAGCTATTTTAAGCTGTAGGTAGTAGTACTCTATGGCTTTTTTGACATCACCCAGACTGTGATAGGCATTGCCAAGATTGCCATAAGCACCACCCTCCCAATGCTTGTCCCCTACTTCTTTAGCTATTTTAAGATGTAGGTTGTGGTACTCTATGGATTTTTCTACATCACCCAAACGGTAAAAAGCATTGCCAAGATTGCCATAAGCGTTACCCTCCCCATGCTTGTCTCCTACTTCTTTAGCTATTTTAAGATGTAGGTTGTGGTACTCTATGGCCTTTTTGAAATCACCCAGACGGTGATAAGCATTGCCAAGATTGCCATAAGTACCACCCTCCCCATGCTTGTCGCCTACTTCCTTAGCTATTTTAAGATGTAGGTTATGATTCTCTATGGCTTTTTTGAAATCACCCAAACTCCGATACGTATTGCCAAGGTTACCATAAGCGTTACCCTCCCCATGCTTGTCTCCTACTTCTTTAGCTATTTTAAGATGTAGGTTGTGGTACTCTATGGCTTTTTTGAAATCACCCAGATGGTGATAAGCATTGCCAAGATTGTCATAAGCGTAACCCTCACCACGCTTGTCCCCTACTTCTTTAGCTATTTTAAGATGTAGGTTGTGGTACTCTATGGCTTTTTTTACATCACCCAGACTGTCATAGGCATTGCCAAGATTACGATAAGCGTTACCCTCCCTATGCTTGTCTCCTACTTCTTTAGCTATTTTAAGTTGTAGGATGTGGCACTCTATGGCTTTTTTTACATCATCCAAACGGTAAAAAGCTTTGCCAAGATTGCCATAAGCGTTACCCTCACCATGCTTGTCCCCTACTTCTTTAGCTATTTTAAGATGTAGGTTGTGGTATTCTTTGGCTTTTGTTACATCACCCAATTGATAAAAAGCATTGCCAAGATTACCATAAGCGTTACCCTCACCATGCTTGTCCCCTACTTCTTTAGCTATTTTAAGATGTAGGTTGTAGTACTCTATGGCTTTTTTGACATCACCCAGACTGTCATAGACATTTCCAAGATTACCATAAGCGTTACCCTCCATGGACTGATTTCCCTCTTCTCTAACAGACAGAAGTCTTACTGACAACAAAATCCTATTATTTTTGTCAATCTTTTTTTTATGTTAAGGTTAAAAATGTAGAAAAAACAAAAAAGATTAGTTTTCTGGTCACATTAGCATATAACAGTCCATTTTTACAGTCGCCTGCACCTGGCGTGTAACTTAGTGTGCAGCACGCATGGTAACCGAAAGTTAGAGTAATCATTACACAGACAATGTACTGTCATTCTTACAGTAAAAACCGAAGCTCGTATCGGTGTTTATAATTATCAACCGGCTTCCTGATCAGAAAAAACAAAGTTGAAACATTTGGCCGCGAACGAGTTTCTGGGGTTTAAAGCAGAAGCTTCAATTACTTTTTCCATGTGGAGAGGTTACTTTTGATGATGTTTGTGGCATGTTGAAACACAAAATCTAACCCAGTACCGGGACGAATTGCGACGATCGCGTGAACAACCTAACATGTCCAAGATATTCATAAGTCTCTACAACATATAGCCGTTAACGGCCGAAACGTTTGTGTAAAAGTATATTCCATCGGATGGCCAGAGCGATCTTTAGGGGATGGTAAACAAAACCACAAATGAGAAATAATTTTGTGTTCAACAACCCTTTGTTTTCGAGAGCACTAAGAACCTCAAGCGAATAATTTCCCTTAGTCATGCTCTTAGTCACGTGCATTAAACTCGATTAAGTAGACAAATTACGAAAACCATCACGATTTTCGGAATTAGCACACACACTAAAAACTTATGTTCGATAACGTGACGGTGTATAACTTTTGATTACCGTAGTTATTCGGTTAGAAGGCGCACTCGGCTATAAGACGCACCCCGAATTCGGCAACTTCATTTTGCATGCTTTCAAACTGAAAATATCTCTAAAATACTTGGTTATAAGGCGCACCGTTGTTTTGGGAGTAAAGATCGGTCAAGTTTATTGTAAATTCTTTCATAAACTTACAAAAAAGCGAAAAAGTCGCGTATTAACAAAAGCAGAATTGTCGCACACGCAACCACGCGCACAAACAAAAGCCTTGATTGTACTAAAGCAAAATGTCACACACATCAACAAAAACCGAAAAATGTCACACATTTAATCACAGTGATAAACAAAAGGCAAAAAGTCACACATTCAATGACAACCTATCGGTACATATTAATTTTTAGCCTTCCCTCTCGGGAAACATGGTTTTAAAGTATAAAAACAATTCGATCAACAAAATTAGTAGTTGCAAATTTACTTCACCTGGTGGACATTATTTTGCGAAGTCTACATTTAGCACAGTCATGCCAAACACTCGCCGTCATTCTTACGATCTCATCTTCAAGTTGGAAATCGTAGCCGAAGCTGAAGCTGTTAACAACAATCGAGTGATAGCGAGGGAATACGGAATTTTCGAATCAATAGTTCGGAAGTGGCACAATCAGCAGGACATCTTGTTTTCAGGCAAACTGAAGATGACAGCCAAGCGCGCTTCCATGGGCCGTTACCGACCAAAAGATCCCGAACTTGATCAACTGTGCCTGAAGTAAAAGTGCTTCCGGTTATTATTTATCTTGGTTATCCCATGCCCATGTACTGGTGAATCTCTTGTTCATTGCATTTACTGATTGATGCCGTTTTTGTTTTGTATCCAGTTCTTTCAGTGAACGGCATGAGGAAGGAACCGGGCACCGATCCGGAGTTCAAAGCATCACTTGGATGGTACAACGATTGGAAACGCCGCCATTCTATTTCCATGCGAACCAAGACCACTCTTGCCCAGCGTCTACCAGCTAACATGGAGGATAAGATCGTGACATTTCACCAGTTCGTGGTGAGAGCCCGGAGGCGCTGTGAGTACCCGCTAAGCCACATCATCAACATGGATGAAACACCGATGCGGTTCGAGTTACCAGCAACACGAACGCTCGAGTTTACGGGGAACCGGACGGTGCCGATCACAACTTGCGGGGCGGACAAGCAGAGCTTTACTGTTGCACTTGCAGTAAAAGCGAATGGCGAGAAACTTCCCCCAAAGGTCATCTTTAAAGGCGTCCGGTAGCTTAGAATTAACCTACCGCCGAGAATGCAGGTCTCGCACAAAAAAAGGCTGTATGGATGAAGAAGGTATTTATTTCTTCGCTTGTTTATTTTCTTTCGTTTTGTGACGTATCAAATTACTGAGCACGTGCTCTCGAGCACGTATCATATCTATGCAAATTTGACTTCGCTCGTCGGGGAGTTTGTTTACATTTGATCGCCGTTTGATAATTTCAGCGCTTATGTTTGGGTTTAACGGTAATTCACTCAAATACTTTTCTCTTTATCTTTCTTTTCTAGGAACAAAAGAATGGGTGCAAATGCCTAAACAAGCCCTTTAAGACCAGAGTCAGAACACAATATCAGGCTTGGATGGTGAACGGACTCTTCACTTACACGCGATCTGGTAAGAAGCGGGCGCCGAGCAAAGAACTCGTGTTGCTGTGGGTCAACAAAGCATGGCAGGAGATTCCCGCAGAGCTTGTTATAAGATCACTCGTCACACACATTTGTTTACCAGTTTTTAAACAATTGAGTGCTATTGAGTCAAGATGAAGTAATTTAGATGTAAGAAATATCTCGCAAAATTTCGTTATACTTTTGTGTGTTACACCTGTGTTAACTTGCGCGCTAAGCGTGACGTCGATCATGCTTTTAAAACCAAAACAAAGCCTAAGCGTGCCAACTCGACCAAAACAAAACATAGTATGTCCCTTCATTGTGTAAAAATAATACATGCATATATTGGACACGCTAAGCGTGTTGTAGCCTGTTCCTGAAATCATATACTAAGCGTGACATCGATCACGCTTTTAAAACCAAAACAAAGCCCAAGCGTGCTAACTTGACCAAAGAGAAAGGTAGTGTGTCCCTTCATTGTTTGAAATCAATATATGCGCATATTGGACACACTGAGGGTGTTGTTAGCGTGTTATGATTAATACCCATCTTTGCACTTTCTTCCATAAAACCTCAAATTATGGAATATTTTCATTATACCGACAGTTAAAAATAAAGCATTTCTTCAAAAGATACAGCTAATCCCTTATCACACCAAGTGATTGCTTGTTCAAATCTCTTCAGTTCAACACAGGCAAGGGCTCCTGCAGGAAACAACACAATGGAGATATAATGACTATGGCTTAATTCCAGAAAAGAACCAGAAATCATTGAAAGCTAACTTATTACAGACCAGGAAAGACAAAGCAACTAAATGGAAAGAATAAACAGGCCCTATTAGGTTTCAGTTAGATTAGTTTTTGATAATTGAAACTTCTGAGGAAATTTGAGTTGAGACTAACAATTCCCACAAAATCACTAAGAGATATAGATATAACAAGACATGCCATGGGAAAACACAAAAGGAAAATCACTTTTTTTTATTTGATAATGGTACATTTTTTGGTTAACTTTTTCAGAACTGGGTTTAATTTCAACTTCAATCAAAATAAAAGAGACTCAAGCTACAGTTTAAAGTTCACCAACAATAAGATTTACTCATACTGTCTCTAGTTACATTCTTATTACATG